TTTACAAATTATTATTCGACGATATTTATATAGAAAATTATTAACATGTACAAATTCTGAAAATTGTTGGTTATGTGTTAGCTGAACTGAAAAATATTAAAGTAGTATGTTTGTCACTTGTTATTTAACAAATGTAATTTTAACCCAGTAATTTATCTTTAATTAATTTTTTTCTTGATGAATACGAACTAAAAAATACAATTTTTAATAAAAATATAAATTGTATTTTTTAACTAACACAAAACGGTTTTAAATGTTTGATTTCCGAAAATAGTGTGCAAAACAGGTTGTTTCTAAAGATAAAAATAGGAAAAAATCTTTTTATAAACATAGGTCGGCAAATGGCCCCTAAGGGAGCTACAGCCTCTTAAAGGGGCGCCCCTGAGGATGGTTTTTATTATTATTTCCGCAACGGTGTGACATAAAATAATGAAATTTTGTATGCTTTCTTAACTTTTTATGCTAAATTTAACAAAATAACTAAACTTTTTTATTTATAAGTGAATTAAACAGGGGCAGGCCTAGAATAATAATTTTTACTCCAAATTTTTTGCAGTTTGCAAGTTTTCTACTACCCTTTGGAAGGTTGTAGGACCCTTAGGGGCCATTTGCCAAACTATGATCATATGAAATTTTTTCCTTTTATTGGCCCCAAAAACCGCTTTTCGGACACCCTCTATACTGCACCAAGAAAAACTTTAATTTAAGTAGGTTTGGGCACAATATTAGTCGCTATGAGTAAATGTTGTAAACATTCAGGTTGTAGTAGTCTTCTTAAAAGAAATTTACAAAGTTTTAGAAACAATGACCGTCTGATTTACAAGTAAAAAAAAATATTCAAGTTTCAAGATGTTATCGTTTAGTATTGCTAAACTGTGTTGTGAATGTTTACTAAAATTTATATGCCATTTCTTATTGTCATGTCATAATATATGGGTTTATTAAATACATATCCTATACAACCTATACAATTTATCTCCTATACAACCTATACAATTTATCTTATAAATTGATAATAAAAAATTAATGATTTTTGCGTCCTGTATGTATGTAAGTGCCATATAGATTTTTGTTAACTTTTACCGCACAGTTTTGCAATAATAAACGATAATGTTGACTGTCCAAATAAAATTATCAATCTGTCATTCTCATCTAGAAGATCCGGCAACACTGGAATACGAACGCATGATTATCTATGGTTTGATTTATTTGGTGACTACCATAATTTCGTTTTTAATAATAATAATAATAATAATCTTTATTTAGCATAAGCTATTTTACAAAACATATAAAAATATAAACAATTAATAAATATGACTGTGTATGTAACTCAGCAATAAAGACTTAAACCTATTTATTTTATCACAGTTTTTAACATTATTTGGCAGATTATTGAACATGTTTAGCCCATTAACAAAAATATTTTTAGTAGTCTGGACTCGATTATATTTTTCTATATAAAAGTTTTGAGCATTTCTTGTTTGATGCTCATGAATACTCTCTACCCTGACCAGTCTATTGTTTAAATAATCTGGTAAAGCTCCAATTTTTAGTTTATAAATAAATAACATAGAATTAAACACAATACATTGTTTGACATTCAATAAACTTAAAGTATCTAACATAACATTAATGGGTGTGTAACGATTACATTTTAGAATTATACGCATTGCCTTATTTTGTAACTTCTGTAGCTTTTGATTTTCATTTTGATTTATTTCAAACATAATACTTGAACAGAAATTAAAATGGGGGGCTATTATGGATTTATATATTAATAATTTTACATACATTGATAAACTCTTACCTACTCTACTTAAAAAATATATTTTCTTAGCTATTTTATTCATAATATAATCTATGTGGTTTTTAAAATTTAAGTTTTTGTCTAACATTACACCCAAATATTTAAAGCTATCTACTCTTTGGAGTTCAGATCCATTAATGTAAAGTTTTTTATTTACATTTAGATTTAAATTACCTAATTTATGACTACAACCCATAATAACATATTTTGATTTATCAACATTTAAGCACATATTGTTGCTACAAAGCCAAACAAAAATATTATTAAGTTCAACATTCATTACATCGATTAAATCGTTCACATTATCACCAGATATATATAACATTGTGTCATCTGCAAACAATGAAATGTCAGATTTTTTTACACATTTTACAATATCATTTATATATAATATAAATAATAAAGGCCCTAAAACTGTTCCTTGTGGGACACCATATTTACTTTGAAGTTTACTAGACAAAACATTACCAATCTTTACCACTTGCGTCCTTTTATTTAAGTATGATTGAAACCATCTTAAAGTTTTATCACAGATACCAATTTTATGCAACTTTTGTATTAATATATCACGATCAATTGTTTCAAAGGCACGTTTAAAGTCTAAAAAAACACACAAAATTATTCTACCTCTGTCCAAGATTTTCAACCAGTTATCACAGTTATTTATTATTACAGCTTCACAAGAGTGTTTTTTTCTAAATCCTGACTGATGTTGTACAATAACATTATTTTCATCACAATATTTGGTAAGTTGGTCTTTAACACATAATTCTAATACTTTTTCATATGGAGGTACCATGTTTATGGGTCTTAGCTCTTCTGGAAGATTTGTACCTGCAACCTTTGGGACTGGTATTATACACGATGTTTTCCAATATTCGGGAAATTCTCCTTCTTGCAGTGATGTGTTAATAATATCTAGAAGTCGGTTTGCTCCTACTGAACAAACATCTTTTAATATTTTTGTAGTTATGCCATCATTAACATCTGAAGTATTTTTTAGTCCTTTAAGAATTTTCTTTAATGTTGTCATTGTTACTTTTTCAAAACTAGAAAATGGTGCAATAAAATCAAGTTTTTCTATAACTTCATTGGAGCTCTGCATTTTAGGTATATTGTTAACTATATGTTCTATACTTTCAAGAAAAAAATAATTTAGTTTTTCAACCATTTCCATTTTATCACAGATTATTTTATTCTGAAACTTAACTTCAGATAAGGTTTCGTTTTTATTGTTTGGCAATAAAGATTTTAAATTTGCCCACATTTTTCTGGAATCAAATCTATTTTCATCTATAATTTTAATGTAGAATTTTTCTTTGGCTTCTTTTATTTCTTTGACTAGATTATTGCGAACTACTTTGTACTGATTCCAATCATCTTGGATATTTGTAAATACTGCTTTTTTGTACTGTAAATCTCTTTGTTTCATATGTTCTAAAATTGAATTATTTATCCATTTGTTATAATAATATTTTCTTTTCTTTATTGTAGTAATAACTGGACACATTTTATTTACAATATTAGTAATTGAAGATATAAATCTGGAGGCAAGTGTGTTAACATTAGTAGTGTTATTATGCCAATCTGTTAGATACATTTCTTCTTGAAGTTTCTTACAATCATATGTTTTCATATTTCGTTTAGATTCAGTGATATTTTCATTTATACCCTGCAGTTCCTTAAAACTTATACTTAATATGCAGTGATCACCTATTCTTGGAGTCAAATGTACTTCATATAAAAGCTCTTTACAGTTTGTCACAATATAGTCAATAAGGGTCTTACTATTTGGTGTTATCCGTGTAGGGGTTTGTACAATTTGACTTAAACCGTTTATATAAAAAATATCTCTAATTTTTTTGGCATAAAATAAATCCATTTTTAAATAATCTATATTAAAGTCTCCTAACATAATTATATTTTCAACTTCCATATCATTTTCTATGTAGTTACTTAAAAATTCCATTAACATATTATCATATTTTTGAGGTGGATGGTAGAGTACAATTATTTGATATACCTGGTTTAATATTTTGAGTTTAACACCTATTATCCATAAATAGTCATTATTTATATTTATGCAAGTCTTAAATTTAATTTTTTCGTGTATGTAAATTAAAATACCTCCAGTTCTTCTATTATGAGTTGGATTTTTCACATATTTGTAACCTTTTATCTCCAATTCAACATTTTCAACATAATTATCCACATGAGTTTCCACTAAACAAATTATTTTTGGTCTCCATTCCATTATTAGTTGTAGTATTAAATGTTTATTATTTAAAAAACCCTGGCAATTCAAATATACAATATATCTACCATAATTAAAATTTTGTATTTGCTATAAAAATTTGGTTTTATTGTTTTCTTTTTCTTCCAATTTTAAATAACAGGGACATTGTTTGCTAAAAACATTGTGGTTACTGTCCAATTTGATTTTATATTTCTCCATAGTATTTATACAATTAATGCACTTTTCAAAATTATTTTCGCAATTTTCAGCTTTATGTTCTCCTGCACATTTAGAGCATGTTTGTTTGTTCTTGCAGTCTTCAGCAAAATGACCAAATTGATAGCACTTGAAACATCTTATTACGTTAACAAATTTAGATATTTTGCATTATTATTATACGAGAGATAATGCAGGCTACTATTCACTTGATAATTTTAAACAACACTGCATACACAAAACATAACATATAGAACTGTCACTGTCAAAAGCGAAAAGCTTAACCATAGAACCCAACTATTAAGAACTAGCAATGTTTAAATCCTATTTTTTTACGTTTTTGTGTTACAATATATATGTATGTATGTATAATATACATTGTATATAGTGCCTTTTGTATTAAAAAAAAATACTATAAAATCAATTAATAAATTGACAAAATAAATGTTGGTTTTTGCAAGTTGGTACCTATTGCTATATTACTTATGTACATGTAATTCATTTTCTATACATAAATGTATAAATGTATTTTTTTTTAAATTTGGTTGGATTATTGTTGCATGCTACTTATTATCCGTATGACTCTTTTAAATTTTTATGATTACATGAAAAATCGCGGGCCCACTTTACCCAAATCCCACTCTTGAAAGGCGAACTTCGAACTTATAAAAAAAAATATTTATAATCAAAAATATTGTTAATTTGTCAAGGAACAAATCCCTATAAATTATTTTATTCCAGAACATCCCCAAAGGACATTAACGGCTTTGAAAAGATTCAAAGCCCAAATGAATGTCTTGATACGGAAACATGCCACGTTTGTTTGCAGAATAACAAACCAATTGGACACAAAAAGTATGTTATTACAACAACAAAAAGCATTTTCTTATGTAATGATTATTTTTTTTAGTCACGAGGATCATTCTTTACATTCGACGCCAAAATTTTTTTCTAGAACTTCGAGCAGAAACGGTTGGGATCACGTTAACAGCGGTGCCAACCAAACACCGCCCTATCATAAAACTTCGATTACATCATATCAGTTTGCCCCCAGTGTGGACGGGTTGGTACCCCTGCGCTCGCCCATACAGGAGCGGCTTGATCAAATAATTGAGGATCAAAAGGTGAGGCTTGAGGTTTAAAAATTAATTTTTTGATAATTTTTTTTTTAGAGAAAGGAAGATTTACTACAAAAAGAACTTCATACATACAGACAACAAAGGATAAGGGCCGTTTGTCATAAATGCACAAATGGTTTGGATTTGGAAAGACAGGATGACAATGTGAGTAAAAATAGCATGTTTTATTAAATTTTTTCTCTTTTATGTTATATTCGCCTCGGGCAAAGGGGCGGATCTTACTGCCTCGAGACTAGCAGCGCTTGAGCGCCGAAAATAATTTTTTTTTATTGAATAAAACTTGGCCGCCCCATATAAAATTGTAACTTTAGAGAAAAAAGTAAAAAAAAAAACATTTTTTTTAGGAAATTTAGTCTTCTAAAAAAGAAAAAGAGAAACTTTAAAACTATTAGCAAAATGTCCAGATTAGTGGTATAAATAATTTTTAAAAGTGAACGTAAAATAAATTATTCAATAGAAGTAGATAATAGTATATTATTATACGGGAGATAATGAAATGATTTTAAAAAATAAAATCTGACATCTGTCAAAGGGTTAACCACTTTTTACCATTATTAAATATTTAAAACCCGATTGATTCAAATCACAGTGAATATGGAAATGGGCCAATCTCTGATGCCCAACGTGAATAATGAGTTCATTCTTCCTGTTGTTATGCAGGAAATTTATAATGTGTATCATTATATACGCAAAAAACAATATTATGCAATAGGAGTAGATAAACAATTTTAACATCATAGCACATATTATAACTTAAATTAACTTTATTAACCATGTAAATTTGCCATTTGACCCTTTGTCCATAGCGAATAGACAATATTCACTACTACCTCAAAATTGAAAATACTTTATTAATTTTTTTGCTGCAGTTTTTTTCGATAACTTTTTAATTTAGTAAAACTTGGCTATTTCTCCTAGTCAGTGACAGAATTAAATACTTCAAGTAGTTCAAACGAATCGCAAAGTTCGAAATCCGATGAAGTGGAAATCATGTTAGGCTCCCCTCAAAACACGACGCCCCTGTGCAACCGACGGGTCAGTCACTCCCTGTTGTCTTGATAACGTAAAAAAAATTAAGTTTTATTTTTTTTTGTTTTATATCGCCGTTGAAAATGCCTATCTGGTTTTTAACTAATTTTCAGGGAGCGATTTAAAAAAAAGTTACATCTATGTCTATAGACTATTTTAAACATTTGAAATACGCCTATTTTAAATGTTTCAAATATTCTAGAATTTTTCTTTAAATCGTTTTACTAAAGAATTTCAGCGGCGATGTATGCAGTGTGTCCCTGGATAAAAAAGGTAAAAAATTATCGATTTAAAATTTCATTTTTGGCTTGGTTGAAGACTAATTTTCAACGTAATTTTTGGTTTTAAAAAAGGTTTTAATGTTCTTTGATTTAATAATTATTATGTATATATTATATTCAATACAGGGTGCACCAAGTATCCTTCTATGTACCTATGGGTATTTTTTAATTTGAAGAGCTGTAAAATTGTAAAATATCAAGCCTATTAACATAAAACTTACAAATTGGAAAAAAAGCCAGAGGTTCTCAAAATATTTAAAAATATTATTATTTCGTTATTTCTGGGTATTTGGAAACAAAGTAAGTTTTACATGTAAACATACACATTAATCTACATTTTTGTCCAATTTCTTCGCTACTATGAATGTTTTGAGTTATTATTGGATTCCTTGTTTTTTTTTCTATCTAACCATCTAAAATTCCAATATGGGGGTCATAGGAAAAACAAGAGATGGTGGTGGTAACTCAAAATCTAGTGGGCGAAAAAAATCACGAAATTGATGAAAATGTAGATAAATATGTATGTTTACAAGTAAACATACAACATATCGCTATCACTACAAAATCAGCATATAAAACATTAGGATTTATAATCCGAAATTGCAAAACCTTTTCTAAACCTGAGAGCCTTAAGCTGTTGTTTCATGCATTGGTCCGCAGCAAGTTGGAGTACGCCTCGATTGTTTGGTCGCCAATTTACCTGTGCCACATTCAATCAATTGAATCAGTGCAACGTAAATTTCTAAAATTTTTAAGTTACAAAACGTTTGGAGTATATCCCCCTCAGGGTTTTGATCATTTGGTACTGCTTGATACCTTTAATTTTAATTCTTTAAGTGTAAGAAGGGATAAAATCTGCATAACCTTTTTATTTAAATTAATTCATAATGTTATAGACTGCAGTGACCTACTGGGACAGTTAAATTTTTATGTACCAAGACCTAATAATAGGCAAACATTAGTATTTAAGTGTCCAAGGGCACGTACCAACATGTTAGTAAGGTCGCCGATATATAAAATGTCCCTAACTTTTAATAAAGTAGGAAGTCTTTGTGATATTAATTTTTCTAGTCTGAGGAGTATACTACAATGTTTTTAACCATTTAATTATTATATTTATCAATAATTTTCTTTTTTATTATATATTTGCGGTTTTTTTTATCCGTTGTCTACTTTTTTTTAAACACCACTTTATATATTTAAGTATATTTATTTTATTATTTATTTTATGTATATTACTAATTGTTTTTGGATCTACTGAAATTTTGTTATTTGAATGTCCTTTATTGTGAAAACTGTTGGGCAATAAATAAATTATTATTATTATTATTATTAAAAAAAACTTGCGTGTTTCAAAATTCCCAGGAATAACGAAGATATAACGATTTTTTGTTTTCAGTTTTCAATTATTGAAGAACCGCAGATTTTTTTTCCAAATTTTGAATGCCATTTTAATAGACTTGTAATCACGCAACTTGTCTAAAAGTTACCCATACAATTTAGGAAATAAGCAAAAGAAAATGTGGAAGATCAAAGTTGGCTGAGGATATTGAAATTTGGGATACGACCCTAGATTTTTATTTCATGCAACTTTTCTAAATAATTTTTTGACTTATCTCTTACCAAAAAGCTACTATCTTGACAAAATAAATGAAAAATCATAGTTGGCCAAGGATTTTCAAATTTGGTATATGGGCACATTAAAGGCTCATTGGCACATTACAGGCACTTTCCTCTAGAGAAAAATAGATTTTTTTGAAAATTTGTAAGACATCCTAAATTTCTAAAAACTGAAATTATGTTAAAAACCTCAAAAATGAACATTTAAATCGAGAATTACGTTTTCCAAGAGTGGTTTACCTATCTGGGGACACATTGTATATTTTGTAATAATTACTAAGTTTTCTTTTGGATTTCTTACTAATTTTAACTATTTTAGTATTTATAAATGAAAGAAAAAATATTTTAAGAAATAAAAAAAGGTACAAATACAACAATTTTCCTTCTTATTTCTGTTTTTTTTTTTGTGAAAAGATAGGAAAACTGTGTAAAACTGTTTTCTTTTTCCTGTATTTTAGGGTTCGGTTTCGGAATCATTGGGGAGCGTGGGGGAAGGCCAGGTTTCCGCGGTGGAGTCCCTAAGGTCGGACATGTCTTGGGAGGCCGTGGAAGACAGTTCGTTGCTAGAGAGTCATGCGCAGACGCTCTGGGTGCCCGACCACGCAGTCACGAGTTGCACCGCGTGCAAAATCGAGTTCTGGATGGGCAGAAGGAAACACCATTGTCGGTAAGTCCAATGATAACACAGTACGACAAAATTTCATTTGTTTTTCCTCCCATGAAAAATTTCTATAGATTTTGAAAATAGACTTAAAAAATGATAGCCATGTCTCGGCGTTTTTTCAGATCACGTCATTTAAAGTTCAATAAAATGTTATTTACGGTATTCGCCACATAATTATGCATAAGGTCCATTCCAAAACTCGGCTTATCCACTTTTTAATAAAAATGAGTTAGTGGTGTCTATACATTTAACATGTATCCCCTTATACCCTGGAAAGTTTATAATATTCTAAAACTCACCTTATTCCATTTTAAATTAATTTACATATGACTATCGTTCAAAAACTTGCCTTATCTATTGGTTATATCATGCAGAACTCGGCATATACGTATGTAATTTTAAATTATTTTAAATTGGAGCCATATCTTTTTAATCAAGGTATATAAATGTTTTACTTATGCCTATATATTTCGTTTAAATTATTCTGTTGGCCTGATATGCGTTAGTACTCACGAGTAAGGTTTTTGACTGTAAGTGACATCAACTTTGTTATTTCAAATAGAGCACCCCATATATTTTTACATTTTTAAATTAAGTATAATTTTTTTATTATGTAAAAACAATATTTAAAGAAAAAAAATATAACAAAATAGAGAATTACAAATTTGTATAGGTTAAAATAATAAAAATGGCTGTATACAAAATTTAAATGACGTGATTTCGTTAAACTGTGAGACACGGGTAAGTTTTTTTAAAATCTGTTAAACAAAATTATAGGTGGAAAATCGTGTTGAAGCGTGCAATAATTGGAAATTTTATTTTTTAATGGTTTGGACAAAATAATGTCTACATCTATTTTTTTTTAATTTTTGGTAGCAGAAAATTAGAAAATTAGCATTGTAAAGCGTTGAAAAAAAAATATTTTTGTTTTACTTCGTAGGCCTTCATAACTTTTTCTAAAAACCAATTTTTACGGAAAAAAAATTGATCAATGTAACCTAATATTAAATTTTTTTTTTAGCAAATGCGGCCGAATATTCTGCGCCGATTGCTCGGTGCACAGCACCCCCCTCCCCGCCGAGCAATTGTACAACCCGGTACGCGTATGCACCCTGTGCTACTCCAAACTGTACCAACGCTCTGCGCAGCAGCATCAAACCTCGACCGCCGGTGAGCAGCGACAGCCGCACGAAACCGGCAACTGTCAGCAAGGCAACACGTGCACCACGTTGGCGGTGAACCATCACGTGACGCATTCCGCCAACGGGAACGCCGTAGGGGCGGGGCTTGTCAGCCAAGCGAGCGCCGCGATTGGCTACGACGCCACAGAGAAGTGCAAGCAAAGTGCCAGTCAAGCGGCGCACGCACAGCAGATCGCAGCTTCGAGTAATTGACTTAAAGGAGCGAAAAGTGAGTGGTTTTTCTATTTTTATTGACCATATTCTGCAAAACGTAGAATGAATACAATAGAGAGAGAGATAGATATAAATCAGGGGGTGTTAATAAAGTTAAGTTTTACTTTTTACTAAGTAAAAAGTACTAAAAAATGTGAGATTGATTGTCCTGTTATATTGTTTAATTGATTGTTAAATTGTTGGTAAAAAGACGCATAAGTAAACAAATATACCTTAAAATGTACTTGTTATAATATAAAAATATCCAATAAGATACCTGAAGCTGAGAAAAACAAAAAATGGTTTAGTACCGGTGAATTTGACGCCCCTAACCTTAAAAACACCGATATTAACCCCTACTCGCATTAAAAATGTAAAATACCAAGTGTTCAACAAAATTTCACCAAAAGTGTAAAATATTGCTGAATACTTTGTTATATTACCTAAATAAATAAATAAATCAACTGGATTTTACTAAAAAATTTAAAAAAACCTGCAATGCCACTGTTTTTTTCGCGTTAGAAGGAGTGCCCGAAAAAATGCAACAAAAACACTAATTTTCATGTAATTAAGTATATCTAGTCAAAATAACAAAAATTAATAAATATTAATTATGTACAAGTTGAAAAAAACAGTGGCATACAAAAGTAACGTAAAATTGTTAATGGGAGAAGATAGATAAAAAAACAAAATCGAAAAGTGACTGTGATTTTTGACTTGATAACAAAGAACGATTGGAAAGTACACACATAATAAAAAACGAGCACTGGTTTTTTTAAAAGAAAGGCAAAAGAAAAAACATGTTAGTTTGTCCGAAACAAAAATATATCTATATTAAATGTTAAAAATTGTGTAAAGAAATATAAAATTAGCAAAATACAGGGTGATGTATTAAAATAGTGGTGGTTGTTTTTAAAAAATTATATATTTTAATCTATTTATTATTATTTATTTAGAAAAAATTTACTGTGTGTTATAGAATCACCCTGTACAATAAGAAGCACTAATGGCATTGCTATGCCATTAAAATATAATTTTATATATCTCTCTGTATAAAAACTAACTATTTCATAACATTCAAGTCATTTGTAAATATTATTAAGACATTCTACAGTTCCTTTGAAAGAAAATATAAAATATTTTTAAAACAGGGCATTATTTTTTATTATTATAAAAGGACCGCTTTTTTTGTTCTGTTATTTGAATTACTGTTGGTGAAAAAAAGATCCCTATGTATACACTTTATTGCAGAAAAAGTATTATAGTGCACTTTGGAGCAAACCTTTTTTATGAAAGGTTTGTTCCAAATGTGTAGTGTAATTGTTTTTTAGTTGTGAAGTGTACTATTATTAATTAGGAAACTTTTAGATAAAATTAAATTGGTTATTACAATATAATTGTGTATAAATATGATAGGATGCATTTAATTTTAACTTGTATATTAAAAAAATAGACATCTGTACTTTATATTATTAGTTGCTAATAAAAACATATTTAATTAAATAGCGTTTTATTTTCCTTTATAAATATTAATTGCATTTATACAACGATTTTAGCATAAAAATAAGGTAATTTAAACTTGTTTGTAATATAAAAATTGTAACACGACTTCCTGCTTATTCTTTCAAAGTTTTTCCATTGAATAAAATTCGCATTGGTTAAAATTCTCATTGGAATTTTATCCAAAGGACATTTTATTGAATGATAATCTTATCCAATGGAAATTTTACTGAATGAGAATTTTCTCCAATGAAATGCGAATTTTATCTACTGGAAATTTTATTCAATGAGAATGTTTTCCAATGGAAATTTTCTCCAGAGGAAATTTTCTACACTGGAAATTTCATCCAATGAAAATTTATATTTGAAAAGTTCTTGAATATTACTTATTAGTTATTAGTTTTATTTAGTTAAATTTTACAATTTTTTTTAAATGAATCATGTTCTCTTAATAATTGAAACGCCTTTTTTTAAAAGAAACGAAACTGTAAAAAGAAATGCAGTCGTCTGAAAATTTCAGCAATATTAAATTTTAACGATATTTTTTAAACCTAACCTTAATTAAAACTTCTAAATCTACCTTATCTGTGTGCAACACAATAATAAAATAAGAAATTACACTAATTGAGACAAAAACTATAAAAGATCAGCCAAAAGTTTAAAATAATTTAATCTGAATCAAAACAAGAACACCTACACTAAACACGATGGGAAGCAAACTAAAATTCCCACAGTGTGAATTACACGGAATCATCTACGGTCATGTGATAAAGCTAATATTATTTCGTCTCAAAGCAATAGAAAAACGCGAATAGGAGCTTCCGAGGCTGTGAATATTTTGCCTCTGTCCTGCCGACCCTCAACGATGTGGGTTTCACCTCGTAAACTTGCGTCAAGAGCGTCGCTTTGCGCCTGGATTTTTATTTACGCTTAGTGTAATTGATTGTTTTTTTTTTACTTTTTATTGGGTATAACAGTTGTAAAAATACACTTGTATTAGGCAAAATGCTAAATACAAAAAGTCGTTCGTTCCTTCATTTTATGAGTGAGGCGCGCCCTCAGAGGCCTACCCTGACGAGCCGCCACTGGTGTAATAATATTTAGTAAAAGTAAGGTTATGGTGGTAATGATTTAAAATATCAACTAATATCTGAGCATAAGACTATAGTCTTATAATTTGATGTTTTTGATGTTTTTTTTTCTTGATTAATTAAAAACTATTCATCCGAAACGTTTCGGGTGTTACTTTTTTCATATGTCGATAATAGGTATGTGTGTGTATTGCTTGAAGAATGCAATAAGTATTTTTTTAAGGCTCTTTCGATGGCCCATCCGAAAAGCAGTCACACCTAATTTAAAGAGGGAAATTTCGGTATTTCTACCGAAATGGCATCGGACCTACCAAAATACCAAATACTACGATTTTCGTCAATAATTATATTTCTACCGATTTTTGGCAATAATTTACTTGTTTTGCCGATTTATCAATCATCCCAAAGCTGCTTAAGTTATGTTAAAGGAGAGTTCATTATATTTATGTTTATTTGTTACTTGCTTATTTTGTAGTACTTAGAGACTAATAAAACACTGATGTTTTCCATATAAAGTGTTAAAATATTGTACTTGTAATACCTGAAACAGAACCATGGTAACACCAGAAACAAAGTAAAATTTGATAAAAAAATAGTAAAACGTTATTTTTAATTAACAGTGATTTTGTGATAGATGGTTAGTAAATATTATACTTTCGGAGTAAATATTATACTTTCGGAAATTTAAATAAATGTAACAATCGTCAGGACATAATATATTATAGTCAGAATCGTGAAACACCCGAAACACAAACTTTTCGACATATAAAATCGTTTTCCTATATGTCAAACTGTACTAATTTTACAATTTAGATAGAACTAAAAACGTAGAGAATAATGCACTTTAACTGCTAAAATATTATTTCAAAATACATAAAAATTTATGCTTTGGTTGAAAAAATGTAACACTCGAAACGATGGAATGACCACATACCAAACACGTGGTTTCGTTTTTTGAGAAGCATGTACCTACTTTTAAGTAATTTCGACACACGTTTTTGGCATAGTCATTGAACATTAACAAGTTACAAGTTTATTAATGGAACAAATTTTAAGGAATTCACATTGTTTTATACTTTTTCTTGCGTTAAAACTTGTTTTTTAGTTTAGTTTTTTTAATACTTTTTTGTCTTTATTTTATAACTATAGTTAGTCTGTTATTTACATCCGCCATATTAAAAATAGAATCGTATTATGCTGGAGAAACCCTTTCATTTGATATTCATACATAATATGGGCCATATCAAGGAGGTTGTGAAGAAATATGTTATTCGCCATATTGGATTTAGTATGACGTCAGTGACGTCACGTCACTTACCTTATCGTTTCTATACTCGTCAAACTATTTGATATTTGTATTAAGAGGGATGTAAAAAAAAGGTAATCCGTCATCTCGGGCCGCTCGTCATATTGGATTTAGTATGACTTTACTCACCTTATCGTTTTTTACCCCTCAAACTCTTTCTTTTGATATCCATATCAAGGGTTGTAAAGAAAAAGGTAAACCGCCATCTCTAAAATTGTTTTGTTTGGTATTTTCGTAAAATAAGATTAGAATAGATTGTAGGTATTGTCACTACACAGTCAACAATATTATGTGTTACATTGAAGTTACATAACCTGATGGTTTCGAATTTAATTCTATTTTCCGCTTTTAAAGTAAGAATCTTACTGTAAGATTGTTACATAACAACGTTACGCTGTCGTTACATAAATGCATTAAAATAAAATTTTGTTATGTAACTTTCCATCAAGTTATATTGCTTCTATAAAAGTGAAACATAAGGTTTGTTTTTAAATTTACATAACATTATTACCTACTTAAAACTGTCATACAACAATAATATATTATTGTTATATTAATACAACATTACATTTATATTAAGCTTATATAATTTTTTATATTAAATTTTTTTATTATCGTTACATATGTAATATTTATAACATGTAATATTTGTAAGATTTAAATTATGGTAATGTGCATATGTTATTTTAAAATATGCAACATGTCGTGATGTAAATGCAACACATTAGTGATAACGAAAATAAAGTAACACTGTTATATTACAATGTTACATTGTCGCAACATAAGTTATATTACATAACATGGCCTTTAGGGCTATGTAACATTTTTACGTTGCAACGTTATGTTAATCTTACACTGCTCGAGTGACTATGCTCCACATCAAAAAGTCCTAGTCATCATGACTTTCTCCTTATCAGGCAGACTGTTTGGGGACCAATGACAAATGGTCAGGGTGCGCTATTTTAACTTTATACCCTAGCCAAGGTTAGTAACACGAGCGAGATGTAATTGATGTGTATAAGTATAAGTTTTGTACGTAACATAAATATAATTATGTTACGTAACAAACTTATCAATTGTGTTACTTTTACTGTCAGTATTATAAACATATTTATAATATATAACAAACTTGTCAATCACTTTACATTACTGTAACCAAACTTTCCCAATGTAAAAAGGCTGACTGCATGGTTACGTGACAATTTGGTAACGTCGGTGTAATTAAGTTGGGTTACAAATATATCGTCTGATTAACATTACAGTTATTATACAAACAGAGCTGCAACAAGTCAGTTTTAAAAAGACTTAAATCTTAAGTCTTAAGTCAATTCTAAAATCAAAATGATTTAAATCTTAAGTCAATTCCAAGTAAAAGTTCAAATGATTTAAGTATTAAGTCTTTGAATTAAATCATTTTCTTTCAAGTCAAGTCATTTTCGCAAATTCTTAAATCAATATAAAGTGATTTAAGTCATCTTATGACTTAATTCCTTTAGTAAGTCGTTTTTATGACTTAAGTCTATATTTTTTATTTAAATCGTGATCTAAGAGTTAAGTCAATAAAATGACTTGAATCAAAAATTGTCATTTAAATCAAAATAATTACCCTTAAGTCAATACAACGATTTTTAAATGTTAATAATAATTTTATGGTATTAATGATACTGATATTATTAATCTATTGTGAATACAGATGATAATAAACCACCGAGTTAAGAATTTAAAACGATTTATTTTCACTTACAAACAAAATAAAAACTTAAAACACATTTTTTAGTAGAGTAGACATACAGGGGGGTACTTTTTTATATACATAAATGGGTAACTTTTAAACGATAATAGATTCTGTTAAAAAACTCTGTTAAGAACTCTGTTAAAAAACTCTCTTAAGAAACTCTGTTAAAATAGATAAAAGTTGAAGCATTTTTCTTAAAATCGCTGTAGTTCAAAATCTGATAACTTGTTGTTTTGTTAACTTTTGTAGCTGGTTCAACATCCATCTAGAAAAAAAATATTCCTCCCTTAAGGGAGTAATGATGGGAGGTTCCAAACTCTCCATTCGCGACCGCTCAAGATTTACGACTGCTCACTACCGCTCCCGACTACTCCCGATTCACGATTGTTCACGATTTACGACCACTCACGACTGTAATAATTTAAGACTACTCACGTTCACGCACAATCACGTTTGAATCATTTTATTCACGCACAATCACGTTTTTCTGTCGTAATTATTTACTTAAACAAACCGAAACACCCTGTATGATATAAACACTTCTTTATAATATTTATTCGTCCTTACCTGTTAATCGTTTGTTTCCACTTTGCACTAATAATCACAAATTAGACCTAACTGCACGCATAATACGACGAATGTTAGCAAACAAAATAACAAAATTATAAATTCCCACTTTTTTTTTTCATTCATTTTAGACAGGACACTTTTTAATGTAGCCGTCAAACGGTTTCGAAAAGCTAACTTTACCGCGGCGGTTTTTTTATTTACTAGCGGTAGCAATTGTAGGTAGGAAATTAAAGGAGTTTTTGATCTGCTGCCGCGTGAACCCCTGGCAGTTCAAAAGAAAATGCCGCTGTTAAAAATTTACAAAAAATATATGAAAAATCTGACTTAAATATTTTCTAAAAAGACTTAAATCTTTTTTAAAAAGACTTAAATCTTTTTAAATTACTTAAATAATTTACCGACTTTTAAAAAGACTTAATTCTTTTTTTGACTTAAATCGTTTCTACCTGACTTAAATCGTATGTACTGATTTAAGCCTTTTATTAATGACTTAAGTTTTTTCTATTTTGAAAAAATATTTAAGTCACAAATCATTTTGAAAATTACTTAAATTTTAAGTCTTAAGTCAGGTTTAGAGAAATGACTTATTACCAAATGACTTAAGTCATTAAAACGATTTAAATCAAAAAAACGATTTAAGTTTTCTGAGAGCTTGCAGCTGTCAGGGCCGGGCCTAAGGGGGGTGTAGGGGGGGGAGTCGCCCCCCCCAAAGTCTTGGCAGTTGGTTCCAAATCCAAACACGGTTGGCAAAATCTATAGTATTTGGGTCGGTTGGTTGGGTATACCTACCCTACCAACCAACCCATCACAATAAATAAAATGAAATATAATTTTTAAACTTTACCTACATATTACAAAATTATAATTTTTAATCTATTGTAACCTCCTATAATCGTTACCGTCAAGAAAATTGTATTGGTCAACCTTATTTTTATTAAAGGACATTATATTTCACACAAGCGGCATGTACAGTCGGCACCGCCTCGCGGCTTTGTCTTTGGTTTTGGCGGCGTTTGACTCTTTTTACGCACCGCAATTTTCGGCGTCTTATTTGTCTAGATTATTATTTAGTTGAAGCTTATCTAAGCTTAGTAAAACTAGTGTCAATAAATAGGAATTAGTTTTTTTTTTTAATATGGAAAACAAAGCTAAACCGGGCCGAGTTCTAGTAAAATGCTCATTATGTGGATCTGTGTTTAACAAGGACTATAAAAAAATGCATGAGAAAAATATTCACGGTGTAAATTTGGTTAAAATTAAAATTGTTGCTGTTCCGGATAATCCACTTACATTGGCAGCAAATCAAAAAAATAGAGAACGAGAATCAATCCCATCGACTTCGAAAGAGCATGCTAATGGTAGGTAAAGACATTCTTTATCTACACTTTACAGCACTTTACATACATGATAAAACTACTGAAAATTTTTACTATTACTACTAAAGTATCGATAAAAAAATAAGTTGGTTTTTTTATCGTCTCCACCCCCCCCCCCCAAAAAGTGTGCCTCGGTACGGCCCTGGCAGCTGTATAATACAAATAAATGTAATTGCTACTTATGTCTGCAATATTGACTTTATATTGCAGAAACATATCATTATAATGTTACAAAACGAAATATTTGTTACATAACGATAACGTTGCTCGAATGCAATATTGTTATGTTAAATATATATATCAAACGGTAATTATGTTACACTATGGTAATTTTGTTGTATTACAATAGTATCACGATGTTACGTTGTTGTTACATTGCTGACTGATTATTTAGTTATGTTACAACAGTGTCGCAATGCTACGTTTGTGTTACATTGCCTATTGGTAATTATATTACAATAGTATCACAATGTTACGTTTTTGTCACATTGCTTATAGGTAATTTTGTTATATTACAATAGTATTAGTTAACTTGGAACAGTAACGAGTAACGTTTCTTTTTAGTAACATTGCAATGTGACTCCGGTTAAATGTTGACCAGGTAGTACCAAAAGGGTGTGCAAAATTAGCTTATCATAAAGTTTATTTAAAATCTATTACAAATTTGGTAACAAACAGACGGGTTTCGTCCGGAAACGTGTCAAAACATGTTTTTTTGGTAAATTATTTATTAAACAAACAAATTTAACAATATTTAGAAAAAATATATACCTTTTTAAGATTTTGAAAAGTGATGAAACAATTATTGTTATTGCTCCTCTGAGTTTTTAAAAGTGGTCTAGAATAATTCTTTGTTTTTTGTTTAAAATCTTGGAATATTATCAAAAAACAAAAGAAACGCTGAAAAGTAATTATAAAAGTAAAAAAAATACTACGGTTATTCGTTAAGCGCAGATAAATCGTAATTGTTGCATCACTAGATTTAAAGAATAATAAATGAATTGAAAATCACAATTTTTGTACAATTTCAGTCGTTAATATATAAACAATAGAAAATATTTATTTTTAATAATAATCTCACTTTAAAAATAATAATAATTTTTTATCAATAAATTTTTTTAATGGTGAATAAAATGATCCATTTGTATTTTTGACGTTTTTGACTTTAGGGGGTCATAAAGGGCTTTGGTTTAAAGTAACATTTGCCCCTTGCAATTTTTAATTATATAAATTCCATAATGAAATCCTTCCATCTGACCCACTGGCAGCAAAAATATTATTATGCCAATAATTGACAATATCAGGGCTAAACTGTACGTCAGTCACCCCACCTTTATGTTCGTTCAAAACCACCAATGCCCGCATGGTTTTCCACGAGTTTACCCTAATTTTACCATCCCACCCCGCCACAACGAAAACCTTCTTATCGGGACGCAACCTGACAACGTTGCACCCGTCGTTAGTTAACGTAACCTCACACTTGGGCGCCATTTTAAAATCCCTGTCGATGTTGAAAATTTCCAGTATGTTCGAAGCGTTTCCACATATGCCACGCGAATTTTGGGCGTCGAACGTAAGTGAGGTTATGTGGTCTTTTAATTTTACCTGTGAGATTTTTTTAGTTGTCGATAAATCCCAAAGAATTACGTCACCTGAAAAAAATGAAAAAGTTTGTTACAAAAAAACAGTTGATATGGCCACATCGCATACACTTGGCAATATTGCAAATATAATGTTTTTGAGATATGAAACATTGCATTAATTTCAAATTGTGTTTAATTTAATAAAAAATCTTAATAAGGTTTTTAGTTGCAGCAGTTTGAAAAAAAGCTTGTCTGAAATATGGCAACTATGCCTATGCAAATTTCTTAGTTTTTTTTAACCAAGTAAATTGGGCATTTTATAAGTAGGTTCACGGTGCTCCCGAGGCGATTTAAATAAAATGTTGATGACACTTCAAAATTCAAGTTTTATGTTGTCCTTTAATGTATTTAGAATATATACCAACAGTTTTTAAAATCAGTTTACGTAATCTATTTTTTTTTAAATGGGTTTGAATGAAAAAGTCCTGTTTTCGGGGATAGACAAATATTTAATGCAATAAATACAAAAAAACAAGGAAATTTGCGTCACTAATTCAAATTAAATTCAAATTACTTATATATTTTTATCAAATCTCACAAACCTTATTTTTATGTCGTCATGGTTATAAGTAAGAATAATAACTATGGGTTAATATTGACAAGTACTTGTCAATATTTAGCGTTGCTTGATTTCTTGCAAAGTTGAGTCTAGTTTTTCGTTATCATTTGAATATTATAGAATATTATAATAATATATATAATTATATCATGGATTTATTGCATACATTTTCCAGAACTCACGAACAAAATCGCCTTAGCATATGTTTGATTTGTAAGAAAAAACCCAAAAATCAGTATTTTAAAAGTACAGGCAGCATAGGAAGTGGAATAAAAACATTGTTTCCCGATTTCGATATAGGAGATTCAAGATTACCAGCTGCAGTTTGCAATGCATGCCGATTGAGAATTAAAAGAGCTAGTGCAAATCCAGATTTACGGAGCGCTTTTAAAATGCCAGATTATTCGAAGTATCGCGATAACATGAAAACTCGTGCATCAAATTCTGGGTATGAATGTGAGTGTACTTTATGTGATGAAATAAGAGCAAAACAAGGAGAATGCTAATAAGAAAAAAATCAAAAGATTCCAAAAGGATATGCTCGAAGTGTTTAACATTGATAGGTAGAGGCATTAGTCACAAATGCAACTCAACCACATTGATCAATAATGTTCAACAAAATTTGAACAATGAAAAAGAAACTGAACATCTGACTTCTCGATTATTAAAAAAAACAAATAATTATAAAGAAGAAATTAAATCCAAAAGCGCAAGCTGGAAATACAAACATTGAATTATCCCTCTCGCAGCAGCATGGTAACTCAATAAATGTTACAGTTAATCCAAAAGAAAAAAATCAAGTACGTCAGATTTCTTTTGATGATTTTTGTGAACTACAAAGCGATTTGAATGTTTCTGATCGACATGTACGTAAATTTTCCAAATTTATTAGAGAAAAGACCACTCTTAAAAGTGTTATTGAACCTCACTGTCGTGAAAAAATGGTAAAAACTTCCCACAAATTAGACGAATTTTTTGCTGTTTATTTTTTTGACTTCGAAGCTACAAAAAAGGAGTAGTTTCTAAAAATCCAAGCTCTGCTGTTATGTGTATTAATTTTATGTTATTCATTCAACATGTCATGGACATACGAGATATTTTTAATTTTCACTTGAATTTCGGTATTGACGGTGGCGGGGAGTCTTTGAAATTTACTGTATCTGTTCAATCAAAAAATGAGACATTATTAACAAGTGGAAGTACACCGGAGTGAAAAAGATATTTATTATTGCTCTTGCTCCCAATATTCAAGAAAATTACAATAATGTTGCAAATATTTGGTCAAAGTTGAAAATAAATGAATGTTTAAATAAATATCCCGCAACAATAACAACTGATTTGAAACTTTCAAACATAATTACTGGTTTGTCAAGTAATGCAAGTTATTATCCGTGTATTTGGTGTGATGTTTGCAAAGATAATTTAGCTTCGTGTGGTAATTTAAGAAAGACCGAAAGCTGTCTTCAAAATTATAACAACTGGTACGATAAGGGAAAAGTCAAAAAGAATGCTAAATACTTTAAAAATTGCATTCACCCTCCCTTGTATTGTTCTGGCGATGATATATTGATTCTAGATGTTATGCCCCCCCAGAGCTGCACCTTTTACTAGGTTGCGTTAACAAACTTTATACTCATTTACATGAATGTAATCCTGATATTGCTAAAAAATGAGCTCAACAATGTAATGTTGAAAAAAAGTATACTAATGGTGGTAAATTTTCTTTCGAGGGAAACTCATGTAAATTATTGCTCAAGAATGTCGACAAACTACAAGAGATATGCCAAGTTCGTCAGTTTTATAAAGGCATGGATTATGTTGATACATTTAGAAAGTTCGGAGTAGTAGTTAACAGTTGTTTTTCACTGACTTTACATCCAAATTTAAAGGAACATGTTAAAGAATTTAAAAAAAGTTACGAACATTTAAAGATAACTGTGACGCCAAAATTGCATACAATTTTCTATCATGTTGTGCAATTTTGTTCCAAGCATCAAGTGGGATTAGGATTTTTCGCAGAACAAGGTACAGAATCAGTTCACCATGATTTTAATTATTTGAATTATTGGCAAAAATTACATCGAGCTGTATGTAGCTATAATAGTTTACATTTATAAGCATATGACATATTTTCCATATCGTTTTTATATTAAATTTTATAGTGTTATGTTTAAACTTTATATATGTTTATAATTATAGCTATATTACAGTAGCGCTAAAAGTCTAAAACTACTGTTACGTTCGAAAGTTTTATTATTTTAACAGGAATTACTTTTATAAATACCTATAATTAATTTGTAATTTAAAATTTTCCTTGTTTTTTGTATTTATTGCATTAAATATTTGTTTATCCCCGGAAACATGACTTTTTTATTTAAACCCATTTAAAAAAAATTGATCACGTAAACTGATTTTCAAAACTGTTGAGATAAATTCTAAATACATTAAAAAACAATATAAAACTTGTATTTTGGAGTGTCATCAAAATTTTATTTAAATCGCCTCAGGAGCACCGTGGGTTATCCTGCGAATATTGTATATTTGAGAAGCAAAAATGGCTTTCTGTTATTGAGACTAAAGCGCATCCTCAAACGGTACCCTGTACATCCTAAACGCGTCTAGTCCCATGTAAATCTTCTGCGAAAGTTAGACTATCAAAACGCGTTTTTCCTTTTCTACGCCAGTGTCACACAGTACAATAAAATCACTGGAAAAGTACTGGGGGCTTAATTCTGAAATTGAGAAGTAAGCATGTAAATTAGGTGTGAAGTGAACTACTGCCTTGACATATTCAAATAAAATTAATGAAATCAGTAAAGCAAAGTGAATTTTAATTAAAATGACATTAATGGGACTTCGTTTTTTTATACTTAATAAAGTTTAACTCTCTGAAATGTCTTGTTTTTAATATAAAACAGCAGGCGTTTTCTGTTATTTCCAAATAAACTGAGTTTTGTCCGCTTTAGACAATCAAATAGCATTTAGGATTCATCTTCTTTCTGAAATTCTTAAGGGATAAATCTTTATTATTAGAAGACTTTTTTTCCAAAATTCTGCTTCAAATATATCAGTTACTTTACACCAGACTTATCGCCGACGGTGGACTAGTGGTTAGTGCTTGCTGACTACAAGCCAGAGTTCGTGTGTTCAAATCCCACCAGGAGTATGGCTGTTTATTTTTGTAATAGTCCTTCGGAGGGGACTTTAAGCCCGCGGTCCGTTCCTACCCCTAACCCGCTCAAGCCATTCAGTTGGCTTCTGGGATTTCTTAGGAAGTAAGGGTGGAACTAAAAGAGCACTTTTGTATATATAAACTTTGTATATACCAGCTCATAAGTAAAATTATTATTATATCCGTACAAAAATAAAGCTAAAATTTCATAATGTCAGTTGAACCTATCCAAAAAATGAATTGACAGAATATTAAGAAATAGTTTAATTAAATGCTTAAAAAAAAAGATTTAAATTTTATTAATTGCCTCGCACACAAACTACTGCCTCGGCTATAATATGTGCTTTCTCCGCCTGTCTGGGACCAATAAACACCTTTACTAATACAATACAATACAAATACCCATACACTATGATTATTTTAAAAATGAAAATTTATCATTCTTTACCCAATTTTAAGGGAAGAAAATTGCTGAAAAGAATACATTTTATTAAATAAGGAGAACAGAGCAAACGTTCGACGACGAGTACGAAGAGTTTCAATGCGAATTCGATTTTTATATTTTATAGGGCAATATACAACATTGTTTGTTTTATCAATGAATAAAAACGTTTGTATAAATAAAATTATTTGCAATAATTGCACTTATATTTCTAATGCTAGCCCAATGCAGGCCCACCATGAGAACCAATTTTGGCTTGGGCCAACGGGGGCTCGCCAATACTGGCCCAAGTTGGAGCCAAGCCATTATTTTCGACTGGGAGATTGCATTTATTTCACATTATATTTATGTTTGCAAATTAGTAAAACATTTGCAATCACAATGTTTTGAGATTGCATTAAATTTAAATCTTTTTTATTTTTGCACAAGATTCTTAAAAAACTGAGTTGTTAAGGGAAGCTTGTCTTTTTTCTATATGAAAATGTTTTTTTTTAATTTGATACGACGGGATGATAAAATCGCACACACAGTGGATGCGATGTTGACATATCTCAAAACATCGAATTTACAACTTTGCTAAGTGTATCATACACTTGGCAACGTTGTAAATACGATGTTTTGAGGTATGTCAACATCGTATTCACTTTACGTTAAGTTTTACGTTTTATTGTAGGCTTGGAGCAAAGATTTTAGGTAATAAGTTAAGTTAAGTATTAGGGTCCGAGGATGGCGCAGTGGGTTAGGCTACAAAGCTGTGCAATCTGCGTCTAACGGTACCGGGTTCGATTCCCGGTCACAGCCCTGGGTGTTGTGATTGTTTATTAAGACAAAAATTACATATAATGTGCTGGCTAAATAGGCTGAAAAAGCCTAAAAGCCAATCAAACTTAAAAAAAAAAGTTAAGTATTAACTGATATAGTTATTTTAAACATAAAAAGGAGATTTTACGTGATTATGTGAAAATAACGATCACAAACGCGAAATAAGTATATTTTACAGAAGGATCTTTTGTGTGAAAATTAAACAATAGGAAAAATTCGCCCCACGCCTCGTTTGCCCCCCTGGGACCCCCCTGGTATAGTGAATATTTGCCAAACTATTATTATTTAAATATCTAAACAAAAAATTACATTTGTAAAGGTTTGTATTAAAATTGTGTTTAAACCAAAATGTTTAAAATACAATGTACAATGTATTTACATTGTTTTAAACAGTTTAAAACAAAGTGCTTGAAGAAAGAATAAAAGGTTTATGCATTTTTACAAAAATATCAGATTTTGTTGTTTTGGTTTATTCAATAAATAAACTTCATTGTTACATGTTTTTAACTAACCATAAAAATCATCCTTAAAAACTCTTTTAAACTTAAAAAAAAAGATTTGAGCAAAAAACATGTTTTGTTTTTTGTTTCAAATAAAAACATGTTTTTTGTTAACCCTTGTTTTTAAGAAAAGCTTGACTGGGATAATGCAACTATGCCTTTAAAGTTGTCAACAAATTATATAGTTATTATATTATAAATCATTTTTCTAAATGCAAGTGGTTTTGGAGAAAAATGTTAAAGGTTATATACATATAAGGTTAAAATTTGCTTTATGGTATTTTTAAAATATAAAAACAATGTTTGAGAAATATTTATAATTTAAAGCAGTTTTATTTGTTTAATAAAGTCAATTTAAAAACACAAATTAATAAAATGTAAAAAGTAAAAAAACTGTAAAAAGTTAAAATGAAAGTCATAAAATTATAAAAAATAAATAAAGAATTTATTTACCTGTTTCATATCCTCCCAATAAATAATCAGTTCCTTCTTTTTTGTATGTTTCCAAACACATCAGCGCGCCAACTTTGACATCCTCACCCAGACACAGCCTATAAAGTTTTTCCATTGTACTTAAATCTACGACATCCACTGTGCTTTTCTCCTGAGGTACTATAAGGCAGCTATCATTTAAAAGTATACTTTTGCAAAAACCACCTTAAAAACAATATATGGTAGCTTACAACATGCCTATTTTAATAGAAATTTGTCACTTACCTTCGCACTGGTAACTTTTTTGGGCAGTATAAGCAGCTTCCTCTACACTAAACATCTGAATTAAGCCGCTTTTTTCCTGTATAATAACATTGTTGTTTATGGAATGGATTGATTGTATGGAATGACCCATTTTTTGCTTGTAATGTAACCTGTTGGTCTATAAAAAAATCCAGTTATAAAGCTACCTTTTCATATAAACATTATTTAGAGATAAATAATAAAATGATAGTGTATAACAAAAAACGGTTGTTCTTATTTACCTCTAAATTCCAAAAATATACAAAACCTTCCTCAGTAGCAGCCAAAAGTTTAGTTGTTTCATTTTGGTTATTTTTTGGGAAACACAGTGAATGTATGTGTCCCATGTCGCCTTTAAAGCAAAAAATCGGATCGGGAGGTAACACAGCCATTTTAAGTAGTTGAATGTAAAGTAAACACTTGAAAATAAGTAAAAATCACTTAAAAATACGCATAACTTATAGACATAACCTAAAAAAGTGACATTTGTAACTTTGAAGGCAAGGTTGCCAATCAACCGAATCGGTTTGTATAGTTTGGTTTTTTAATCATGACCCTCACGTGACATATGTAAGGATATAGCTCAGACATTCGTATTGTATTTCCACGCCGCAGGACCACTGGGACGTAGCATATAGCAATAGATAAACGTATGTCTAATAATACCACAACATACGTTCTTTATGTTTATATTTTTATAATAATGGGATCGACAAAGATAGCTAAATGCACAAATGTCTACAAAACTTTGACAGCCTGTCAACATTGGTGTACTTGAATTTTTTAATATTTTCCATAATTTGCGTATTTAAATTTAGATGAAACTTGGATATTTGCTAAAGGAAGCCATACAAGATCCTGGCAAGACTCATCCACAAAAAGTGTACGCAAACCAGAAGGTTATGATGGAAAACGTTTCATTGTGTTGCATGCTGGTAATAAAAAAAGTTTTATTCGCGATGCCGCATTGGTTTACTCCACGAGGTCCAAACTGGCGGATTATCATGGTGATATGAACTCAGAAATTTTTTTGAAATGGTTGCAAGAACAATTCATCCCAAATTTACAGGAACCTTCTCTAATTATAATAGACAACGCGTCTTACCATAGCGTCTTAATGGAAAAACAACCAACGGTTTCATGAACTAAAAACAAAATTAAGGAATGGTTGGAAGAAAATAATATACCATTAAATAATGATATGTTCAAAGTAGAACTTTTAAATTTAGCCAAGAATCATAAAAAACCAATACGATATAAGGTTGATGAATTGCTACAAGAAAATGGACATGAAGCTTTAAGATTGCCTCCGTACCATTGTTAATTTAACGCAATTGAAATGGTATGGGCCGATGCAAAGGATTATTATAATAAACATATTGGTGAAGATGGCTACATTGCCATATGGCAATGATAAAGTGCTTACTATGTGGGAACGGGCATTAAAAAAAGTTACTCCAGAAAGTCAAAAATAGCACACACTGAAAAAATTATAGAGGAATGGTACAATAAAGAAAGAATCTTGGACGATGATCATGGTCTTGAAATGATAATCCACATTGGTAACGTCAACGACGATGAATCGGAAGATGATAGCGATTAAGATATCTTATATATAAATATTAACATATTAATAGATGAAAATAGATCCTTTTAATGCAGTTAAGAGCATTTATCATTAAACTATTAAATAAACCAATTTTTTTCAGAGTATATTGCATTTTACTATTAAACAAAAATTAGACGTCCCATTTTTGTCTCCATTTGAGCTTATTGGTGTGTGCCACAACTAAATTATTATATAAAATAATATCTTAACCATTGTGCATTATACAAATATTAATATTTCCAAATTAATTAACATACATATTTTGAAAATTTGCAAAGTATAGGGAATTTTTTAGTAGTAGAATAGGTACACTTAATTTTCTCCACGCAGAATGGGTAACGCAAACTATATAATTTAAAATTACAATAATTTAATATATATAAATTACAACGGTTTATTTAATAATATAATTACATAAGAGTTACTGTTTTAATAAATTTGCACGTTCAAATGAATGATTTAAGTTAAAACGAATCATAATATGGTTTAAGCCAGGCAAAATACGATTCTCATATTTTGATTCGCAACCCAAAGCACAAACGTGTATAATGGACTGCATACGTATACAACATTTCGAACCCCAAATAAAACTCCACGATACGCCACTGATTTTGCCCTCGATTTGATTCAGTTGCTTGACATTGTTGCCGTAGGGCTCATGACTTAAAAATTCAACTATAGTAGAGGTACCAATGTTAAAAAAAGATTATTAACCCTGCAGTGGTCGCGCATGTTATTCGTACATAAGTAGTCGCGCCGGTGTACTGGACCGGGATCTTTTTTTTCGTATTAAAATGGCTCTTTGGGAAAAGTGTTTGTATCCGTTAGTATAATTTTAAATTTATTATAAGTAAATAAATATATATTTGTGTTTTAAGGTACTTTATTGGTAACTGAGAACAGTTTAAAAATTAAAATAAAAAAACTCGTCTTCATATTCAGTTTGTGGGATGGTTACGATAGAAATCCCAGCTTAATTATGTGAATTTATTTGTAACAACTTAACAACTCAACAACTTAACAGCGAATAATGTATAAAATATCAGGACTACAAATTGCGACGAGTGGCGTGTAAGTCGGCGTAGGTAAGACTGACCGAAGCGTCCCTTCTTCCCGGCTCAGCCACATCTTGCCAGATGCTGTGACACTCGACCTTTGGCCCGGGTTCGTCCATTTGCGGGCAAAGGGGTGTCTTGTCGCTTCTTGGTTTGGGCGAGTCGCCACACCACCCCCCTGCGGAGTGAAATTACTCATGGAGGAACTTCGGGAACCGGACCCTGCGTCCTGAGCGAGTGACGCGCTCCGGTGGCGCTGTGGATTCCGGGGCATGTGCTAAAGTAGGTTTTTCCTCCGTAGTAGGGGACGTTGTTGGCCTTGGTGCGGTTTGGTCAACCAAAATGTGGGCGGGTTTGACGCGGTCGATGGAGACTTTTGCTGCTTCTCCTCGGATTTTGAGCGTGATGGTTTTCTTGTCTCTCGCTAGCACTTCGTAGGGGCCGGTGTATGGCGGCTGCAAGGCTTTTCGTACGGAGTCCTTCCGGAGAAATGCGTGACTGCATGTTGCCAGGTCCTGAAAAACGAATGTGCCAGGTTGTGCATGACGGGAAGCTGGAGTGGGACGAATTTGGTTTGCGTGCCTGCGTAGTCGGGCAAGTAGACTAGTGGGATCTTCCGCATTGCTTGGGTCTTTTGGTGCGGAGAGCAGATCACCAGGAAGGCGAAGCGGCTCTCCATATACCAGCTCGGCTGCGGTGGCTTGAATGTCATCTTTAAAAGCGGAGCGTATTCCGAGCAGCACTAGGGGAAGTGCTTCGATCCAATCCTCTTCTGAGTGTGCCATGATGGCGGCCTTGAGCTGGCGGTGCAGGCGTTCGACTAGCCCGTTGGAGGCTGGGTGCCAGCTGGTTGTGTAGTGCAGCTCGATGCCGTGTCGCTTTGCCATGGTTCTGAAGAGGTGGGAGGTGAATTGTGTGCCTCTGTCTGTCGTGAGCTTGTCGGGGCGTCCAAAGCGGGATGTCCAGCATGACAGAAACGCATGCGTGACGGATTCTGCGGTGATGCATGTCAGGGGATATACCTCAGGCCATCGTGTGTAACGGTCAATAACTGTCAAACAGTACCTGTAAGATCGAGCTATTGGAAGTGGTCCGATGATGTCGGCATGTACGTGTGAAAATCGCTTTGAGGGTGTTTTAAAGGTTCCCAGGGGCGCCGCGACGTGGCGGGTGATCTTCGAGCGTTGGCACGGGATGCATGCTCGAGCCCAAGCTCGGCAGTCCTTCCGCATTGAAGGCCAGACGAAACGTGCTCCGACAAGTTTGGCGGTTGCCTTTACTCCTGGGTGGCTGAGGTTATGCAGTTGCTCGAATACGCGGCGTCGGAACGGGGCTGTGATGAATGGCCGCGGTGTGCCTGTTGACGTGTCGCAGTAAATGGATACTGATAGACCTGGGATGGGCATTTTTTTGATGCGGAGGGATGAATCTTGTTGGATTGTCCTTATTTCTTCGTCGCATTCCTGAGCGGCAGCGAGGGCTTGGTAGTCGATTGGGGTGGAGACCATTTCCACGCGGGAGAGGGTGTCGGCGACGACGTTTTGCGAGCCGCTGATGTGTTGGATGTCTGTGGTGAACTCGGAGATGAAGGAAAGTTGGTTGAGCTGTACTGGGGGCAGCTTCTCCCGCCGTTGCAGGAACGCATAAGTGATTGGTTTATGGTCCGTGAATATGGTGCAGGGGCCCGCTTCAAGGAAGTGGCGAAAGTGCTGCACCGATTCGTATATGGCGAGGAGTTCCCGGTGGTAGGCCGGCCAACCGCATTGCTTCGGCGACATCTTCTTCGAAAAATACGCGAGCGGCTCCCAGTTGTTGTTTATCAGCTGTTGTAAGCAGGAACCAATTGACAGGCTGGATGCGTCGGTGAATAGTCCTAGGGGTGCATCCTGCCGGGGGTGCACGAGTAGGGTGGCGCTCGCTAGGCTGTTCTTGCAGGCCTGAAATGCGTCCTCCAGCTGTGGGGTCCATGGTACTGGCTGTGAACCTTTGGTTTTGGGGACGCTAAGGAGAGCGTGTAGGGGCGCTTGAAGTTCGGCTGTATGGGGCAGGAACCTTCTGTAGAAGTTGATCATTCCCAGGAACCGGCGTAGGCCCTGGATGGACTTGGGTAGAGGGTACTCCTGAAGGGCTGCCACGCGCTCTTGGGGTGGGCGCGTTCCGTCCGCTGTGATGATGTAGCCAAGGAACTTTACCTCCGGGACGCCTAAAACACACTTTATTGAATTTATAATTACCCCGTAATCCGATAGTCGCTGGAACAAAGTGCGTAGGTGGTGTTCGTGCTCTTCGGTGGACCTGGAGAACACCAAGATGTCGTCTACGTATGCAAAGCAGAAGTCCAGTCCGTGTATTACTTCGTCAATAAATCGTTGGAAAGTTTGGCCAGCGTTGCGTAGGCCGAATGTCATAAATGGAAATTCAAAAAGGCCAAACGGAGTCGTAATCGCTGTCTTGCTGATGTCGTCGGGATTGACTGGAATTTGCTGGTAGGGTTTGACTAGATCTATTGTTGAGAAAACTTTGCATCCTGCTAGGTCGTGTGCGAAGTCGTGGATGTGGCGCACAGGGTAGCGGTCCGGGATGGTCCGGGCATTCAATGCGCGGTAGTCACCGCATGGGCGCCATCCGTTCTCTCCTTTGGGCGCCAGGTGCAGGGGTGACGACCAGGGGCTCTCTGACGGGCGGGCGGTGCCGAGTCTAACCATGTCGGCAAACTCCTCCTTAGCGATGCGCAGCTTTTGCGGTGCCAGTCGTCGAGGCCGGAAGGCTACCGGTGGTCCTGGCGCGGTGCGGATGTGGAGCGTGGTTTTGTGTTTAACCTCTCTGGGCAGGCCGGCGGGGCGTGTAATACTGGGAAACTCAGCAAGG